CACACACGCCAAGCCCACATAAACCACAAACAGAAATTCACTCTGTCTCTCTCCATTTCTCGCTCTTTATAACACATGCACACATCCCCACCTAGACGCACGCTCGCGATCCAACATCCGCACACAATTCCACAGGCCTCACACACGGCTGCTATTTCTGTAAGCTCCCCATCTACTGCCCATTTGTCTCGTAAAGGACACACTGCAAAACCCAACCTGCCACTTTCAGCGCAGGAGAAACAACTTTAATTGCATGTTGTTCCTTTCCAATTCAGTCAGGGAGAAACCAGAGAGAGTTTAACCACGTTGGGAACAAGCACAACAGGCCACACAGCACGACAAACTCAACCCGAAGCCCTGGGATTGCTAAAACTGCCCGAGGTAATAAACTCAATGTATTTTTCTGCTTTGTTTACTACAAAAAAAAAAACATAGGGTTAAGTGTTAGAATGTTAAGTATGTATATGACAAATTGCTAAATATGAAAATCTAAGTGAATGTTAAATATCTTAATGTTGAGGCAAAGCTGAATATCTAGTGTCACATACAAAAATTAAGCACAAATACATTAAATTAAAATTATACAAAAATGTTGACTTGTTAAATTAAAAATGGAAAAAGTAAATTAAATACAAATAAGCCGACTAAATTACAAAAACAATTTGTTAAAATGCAAATGAGTTAAATATAAAAACATTAAGTTAAATTGGAAAGCTAATTTAAATATAAATAATTGTAATTAAATACATAAACATTCAAATATGATCACTAAGCACGACTACATTGAAAATGCGGAGTTCTTAAATTAAATATGAAAATGAATAAAATACAATACAAATGTTGAGTTAAATATGAAAACAACAGGTTAAATACATTGAGTTAAACTGGAAAGCTTAAATTAAATACAAATAATAAACATAAACATTCAAATATGATCATTAAGCACGACTATATTGAAAATGCTGAGCTCTTATATCAAATATGAAAATGTTAAATAAATGTAAAAATGGAAATGTTAAATTGAATACAAATAAGCTGATTTAAATACTAAGAAAATAGTTAAATATGAATTATATTGAATTACATACAATATTTGTTAATAAAAATAAATAGGTTGAGTTAATAGTTACATTTAAAGGAGTTAAATAAGACAACAAAATTATCACAAATTTTAAGTTAAGGTTAAATATGTAAACATTAAGTTAAAAATAAAAACAATCTGTTATATATGAATAAGTTGATAAATATAAGTTGTATATAAGTTGAAAAATAGGAACACGAGATAAAAACGCTGAGTTAAATATAAATACATGAAGTAAAAAAATGACGACAACACTACATTTTAAAGGCAGTAATTTGAACATATGAAAACATTAAATGAAATAAAAATGAGTTGAGTTAAATATAAATGCCATAAGTTAAATATGGACATCTAGGTTAAATATGAACTCCAAATCCGAAGTTTATTATGCTTAAAATACACCTCAGCATTTAAAAAGACGGTAACGACTGTGTATCAGCACTGGCGTGTGTTTGTGCGGGCATGCATGGGCCGATGCCCGTGTCTGTGCCAGCTGTAGTTACTGTAGCTGGCAGGACGTTAATGAGGAGGTCCTGAGGAGGGATGAGAGCAGAGTCTGGGCTGGAAAAGAAAAAGAAGCGGATTAAAATTTCAGCACAACAGAGCCCTAAGAGAGAGAACAAGATAGATGGCTGGGACGACAGACACCTCGCGGGCCTGTGAGAAAGACGGACATTCCACCGTGAACACGTCTGGGAGGGGAGGGATAGTGGGGGAGGGGAAAAGATAGAGAGAGAGGTCGCATACAAACAGCGAAGCGAATTGAAGCATTCCATTATTACGCTCGACTGAACCCTGCTCCTCTTTTCACCTTGAACCCAAGACACACACACACACACACACACCAAATACACACTCTCTTTGCAGCTGATACCATCCTTCCTTCAGACTGAACTAAAAAAGAGAAAGAGGAAGGGGAGGGTGAGACGACAGAAAGGGATATGAGAGACAAAAATAGGAATGATGTTACTGGACTGACTAGTTAAAGACAAACTGAATGTTAAAAGGGTGAAAACTGGATAAAAAAACAAGCAGCAACTCTCCTATCCATCAAAAAAACATGACAAGTTGAGATTTCAATGACTTATATTAGTTTTCTCCACCCACACGGCCTAGATTACATCAGCAGATAAACACTTTATCTTTATCTTAAGTCACTTTAAAGACTGAAAAAGTTGTAAGGTTTAGATGGAAAAGCTATGAAATCACACTTTTTTTTTTTTTTGCAGTAGCATGCACTGAATTGTTATTCCATTTTATGTGATGCAGTCTTTTAATAAGCACGACTGCAAACATCTCCACGGTTCATATGGGTGATGATCGATCAACGTTATGGATTTTGTGTCCATACCTGCTGAACACCCAGAGCTAACCGCCCGCATCAAAGGCAGAACAACTGCCCGCCGAGGGACTTCCTTTCTCATTCGCTTATTACTGGAGCACTGTGGAGCATGACACATTCTTATGTTTATTTAACTACGCAAAACTCGCACACGGACGTCTCAGCACCCTTCCCGTTGAGATCCACCTACTATCACTGTGGATGAACTGAGTTAACAGAGCATGTAAAAACCCTGAGGACAGGAAAGGGCTCTTAGATGGGGGGCGGGATTCCTTTATCCCCTACCAAAGACACATGCACAGAATCACGTAACCTCATTACGTCAACAATCACAACAACAAGACAACGACGAAGCCTTGGATTATAGACTTTACAGACTTGAGCAAAATCAGATATGTAAAGCACAAATCTAAATACAGCATATAGACCAAAAAACACTGCCACCTACTAGTAGCAAAACGCTTACAATATTGATGAAATGATGGCATTTAATATATAGCTTTAAATTGACATCTATGTATTTGCTCTGAAATGGCTTAAAAGGGTAATGTTAATTAATAATAAAGATCATATTTTTTAAATAATTGAACAAATTATATTAAGTGATTCTCTATATAACAATGCATAATCATGAAAATATTTCATACACACACACATTAAATTACATATACATTTGTTTAAAAAACAACTTAAAAGATTTTTAAAAATTATATAGATACACAAACAAACACAATATGCAAAAAATTTCACTTTTTGGATCGGGCACTTAAATATTGGATTTTATGTATTATAGTACGAAATCAATTATAATTTTATTATATGATATTTAATATGCATGGAAATATTGTTTTTTATGGATTTTTATGCATTGTTATATAGAAAACCACTTAATTTATTTTCTTGTGTTCAATTATTCAATTACACACACACACACACACAAAGAATAGACAATACATTATAAATAAAAATATAGTAATAAAAATATAGAGAAAAGAAAATGTCAATAGACAGAATTGTGAATGTGTGTATGTGCTATTTACAGATGAACGTTAATGAGTTATTTATAATTGTACAGTCCTGAGGTGTTATGTGTTGTTAATATATATATCATATATATGAACAATGTGTATTTTTATGCAAGTACCTAAATATATACACACACACACACACACACACACACACATATATATATATATATATACACACTTGCATAAAAATACACAGTATTTTTATAAATACATTTTTATATTTACACTCTCCTTCATGCAAATAAAGTGATGAGAATGGCTTCCAAAATGCCTTTAAAGTACAATAAACAGCACATTAAATTCACTGTGACACCAACAATGTTGTTTCATTTTATATCGGCAGCAAAATCATAACCAATGATTTTGCAAATAATAATGCCACTTAACATCTTACAAGTTATCAAGCTAATGCTAATAAAAGAAAGCTGAGGCACCAGGATGAGAAGCAGGTAAGAAATCTAATGGAGTGGAAACATTTTACCTGCCACAATCTCTGTAAAAGTCCCCAGGAGAGATGGGGCCGAATGGAAACAGGCCAATGTTACTGAATGTCACAATGCGTTTTCTTGTGTGTGTGTGTGTGTGTCTTTCTTGTTTGCGTTTGTGTGCACATACACAGTCATATTCAAATGTTTGTGCGCAAGCATGACAGTGAGATTTATCTCTCGTTAGATCCGTGCCTGCAGTGATCGTAGAATCAGAAGCGTGTCTTTTCCTCAAATAAACCTTGCATTGACCTTCTGGTTCAACCGCAGCTCACCAAGGAGGGTTTCTGTGCAAGAAAAAGTGGCTTTTTGACTTCAAAGGTACAGTGCTGGGGGTCTTGCATGGCAGGGTTTGGTTTGATCACAGGTAGTGTAATTATGCCACTCCCAGAGCAGAGAACTGCATCGAAACAGCCTGCAGCGAGCACGCTCTGCAACAGGATGCATTCCTCATTGACAGCAAGACAAGGAAATTGCCACCTAACCCCGACCACATGACAGGGAGAGAAGAACGCACACATGCAGGCGCACACAAACACACATGCATGACCCAGATCAAGGCAAACAGACACAATGCGCAAACAAAAAGCATGTATGCACATACTGATTCGCCGCCCACAAAATGTCAGTCGATAGTACGAATCCCGTCATTACAGGATTCTCAGAGAATCACACAGAGCATCCGTGCGAGTTATGAGGGATTGTGTCATCCATTATTCAGTCTTGTGTAGCCATAAAGGCATCATGGGCGGGACGTGAGGACTATTGAATACCAACTTGTCCATGAATGAAGGTGTGATTTCACCACACTGTGTTTCCCCCCATAATCAAACCTGTCTGCAGTAGGATTAAGAGCTGTTTTGGTGCAGATCAAAGGGGTGTGTGTGTTTGTCTGTGTCTGTATGGACACGTAATGTGGGTAAATGTGTGTGCAAAGGTGAGACAAAGACGCAGCACGCCTAGCAGACAGTCGAGGAAATACAGAAGGGGGAATCGAAGCCATTTCGGCACTAATCCACGCTGTCTCCTGCTGTGTCCCGTCAGAGTGAAGATGGGTTACTCACTTTGCTGTGGATTCTTCATCGTATTTAGTCTTCAGTTCATGGAGTTCTGCCTGAGTTGCTTCAAGTGCTGCGCAACAAATGAAATGCATGTCAGTAAAACAGGCTTAAAGAACTCAACTACATCAAATGACACATATGTAATTGTTAAAACACCCAACTTGACGGTGAATGCATTAGCAAACCTGTTTGTAAGGACTGCGTTTTCATGTCCAAGTCTTCTGTCCTGCTGTCCTGGCTCTGCTGTGGCTGACTGCATAGACATGCAGAGGACAATTAAAACAAATCTCCCAACATATATTAATGTACAGACAGGATAGCCACATTAACACTGCAGTACTGCAAACTGATATGAATAAACACTAGATGCAGTGAATATGAATAAATGACCAGATGCAGTGATATTACATTTACATTTAGCAGACGCTTTTATCTAAAGCGACTAATAAATGAGGACAATAGGAGCAATCAAAACCAACAAAAGAGCAATAATATGTAAATGCTGGGACAATCAGTTAGTCTAAGGCAGTACACGCAGCACATAGTTTTTTATAATAAATAAAAAGAAAACAAGATGAAAGAACAGAAAAAGAATAGAGAACGCTAGTGTTAGAGGTTCCATTTTTTTTAAATAAAAAGAAAACAAGTAGTAGAATAGAAATAAAATAGACAGTGCAAGCGTTAGAGTGTCAAGTTTTTTTTTTAAATAAATAAATAAACAAAAGAAAACAGATAAAATAGAATTGAGAGTTGTATAATATTTTTAACGTTTAATGACTAAATATTTCTGATGTGGACAAACAGCTATATTTTCAAAGTAAGCTTCATAGTGTTTATTAGTTTTATCTATTTTTTAAGTTAGTTATTATATTTAGTTATAGTTATTATTTCAGTTTTAGTTAGGCATCAAATTAAACAAAATGAAAATGGGAAATTAAATAAGTTTAGTTTTCTTTATTTTAGATATGCATTCAGAATTTAGTTACAAAGGCACCTATGATTCATGAAAAATGCTTTGCTAGCTCTGTGTTTATGGATGTCATTTCAAACATACATTTAAAGCTCAAAATTGCTATCTAGGAAGGCAGCTTGCTAGTTTTCGAAACACAGCTTATGAATTCATAACGCAATCATGAAGATTAATGGCGTATTGGATTTGTGCAACGGTCAGGCTAACCTCTCCTTGTCTGCATAGTTGTTAGGAAGGTTTTCCCCTTTGCTTTCCCTCTCTTCTCTTCCTGATCGGTCCTGGTTCTGATCGGGAGCTTCCTCTGTGTTCTTGGCCTGCAGAGAACGCTCATACTGCTCCAACTTCTCTTTAAGTGCTTTAATAGTGACTTCTGTAGGAGAGAAACAGAGAGAAGCATGAAAAGGACAGACAGAGGTCTCCACAGGGTGTGTAGGGTTTAGGTTTTGTCTACACTGTGGGGGCCAACTGTCCCCCAAGGATAGTAAACCCTGAAATCGGCCAAGAGGAAAACCACTTAATATACATACCAAATTACATCTTTAAGGAACAATTCACCCAAAAATGAAACATCTGTCATCATTTACTCACCCTCAAGTCATTCCAAAACCATATAGCTTTCTTTCTTCCATAGAATACAAAAGGAGCAATGAAGACTGTGGTAGTTACAATGAATGGGGACTGAAGCTTCAAAAGGACATAACAGCATCATAAAAGAAGTTCATATGACTATATTCCAATTCTTCTGGAGCCATGTGACAACAAACCGAAATTTAAGTCATTTTTCACTGAAAATCAGACTCAATGTGCAGTTCTCGAGGTAACAGTCCACTTGAGGGAAGATTATCAGTGAATAATGTCAAAAATAGCAGTCTGTTTTTCACCCAAAGCTACTGTATGACTTTAAATCCAGCACACAAGTCATATGAACCACTTTTATCATACATTATTGGAGCCTTTTCATCATTTCTGAAGCTTGTAATCTCAAGTAGCAATTCATTGTAATGGCATGGAAAAGAGCAACCAGCGCATTCTTTGAAATTGCTTGCTTCCTGTTCTACGGTAGGAAGTCATTTGAGTTTGAAACGGTTCCAGGTGAGTAAATTGTATTTTCATTTAATTGTAAAATGTTCATTTAAAAAATAAATGCTAAATCAAGAGGGTTACATTTATGGTTATTTATAAATGAGGGTAAGAGGATAGAAAATGTCATTAGCTCAGTATAAATACAACTGAAGTCAAGGGAAAGTCCCCCCTATGATAGAAAAATGTGTGTTTACATGCCTACACACACACATCCACACAAAATATCCCTGATAGAGAGCTTTTTCCTCCTCTCTCCGTCTCCTGCACAGCCATCTGCGGTGATTTAAACTCCAGCACTTCAGCGCTGACACATAATCAATGAGCAGCAGTCCCACAAGAGCCCTTTTAGACCCTTAAATGCTAAACTGGACTTTAAACACTGGGAGACTGGAGGATCACTGACCTGAGAAAGATCAGCGTGTAAAATAGGAAGGATTATCTAGCGGACCGCTCAGACGGAAACACACCTGTGTGTGTGTACACGTACACATGTGTCTGCGACAGAGAGGTCGCATGTGGCGGTACCTATGGCTCGTGTGGGACAAATAAAATATTGCCGTTATTGAACTGCATCGATTTGGGGATTTCCACAGACCGTGAGGAAGCGATGCTCCCTCTTGTTTATGTTAAAAAAAGAAAAACCAGGAAACATGTCTGGCTGAAACAGCAGCGGGACAGAAATAGAGCTCAGATGACTACAGCTCATTACAACTGAAGTCAAGGGAAAGTCCCCCTTATGATAGAAAAATGTGTGTTTACATGTCTACACACACACATCCAAACAAAATATCCCTGATAGAGAGCTTTTTCCTCCTCTCTCCGTCTCCTGCACAGCCATCTGCGGTGATTTAAACTCCAGCACTTCAGCGCTGACACATAATCAATGAGCAGCAGTCCCACAAGAGCCCTTTTAGACCCTTAAATGCTAAACTGGACTTTAAACACTGGGAGACTGGAGGATCACTGACCTGAGAAAGATCAGCATGTGGAATAGGAAGGATTACCTAACGGACGGCTCAGACGGAAACACACCTGTGTGTGTACACGTACACATACCCGTGTGTCTGCGACAGAGAGGTCGCATGTGGCGGTACCTACGGCTCGTGCGGGACAAATAAAATATTGCCGTTATTGAACTGCATCGATTAGGGGAATTCCACAGATGGTGAGGGAGCGATCCCTACCTCTTGTTTACGTTAAAAAAAGAAAAACCAGGACACATGTCTGGCTGAAACAGCAGTGGGACAGAAATAGAACTCAGATGACTACAGCTCATTTGAACAAAATTAGGGCCCTGTCTATGTGGGTACACTTATGCGGCCTGCCAACATGACATATGCTTAACTCATTTAATTTGCTAGGTGCAGATAAATTCTGCTTTACAAAATAAAAATGCTTACAAACTTCCATTATGTGTGAATTTTGATTCATCAGGAAGTAATGTAGGTATTTAATACAACTTGATTTTATTCATTAGGATTTGATTGTGAAAAGTAGGCAGAATGATTAATACATAAAAAAATAGTAATACTGTGAAAAGTTATTACAATTTAAAATAACTTTTCTATTTGAATCTATTTAAAAATTTAATTTATTCCTGTTATAGCAAAGCTGAATTGTAATATTTAATATTATTATATTAATCATTTTTGTGGAATGTGATACACTACGATTCAAAAGTTTGGGGTCAGTAAGATTCAAAAATAAATAATAAATTAATATGAAATTGATTTTTAAAAAAGTGCAGTAAAGACATATACAATGTTTCACTTATAATGTTTCAAATATTTAAAATAGAAGCTGTTCACTGAACTCTATTCATTGGTCAAAGAGTACTAAAAAACAATTCTCCACCAATTCTCACTGTTAACTAATTGCTTATTAGCATGCCTATTATTAACATATTGGCTGTTTATTAATACTTATAAAGCACATATTTTGCATGACCATATTCTACATCTCTAATCCTACCCAATACCTAAACTTAACAACCACTTTACTAACTATTAATAAGCAGCAAATTAGGAGTTTATTGAGGCAAAAGTTGAAGTTAATGGTTTGTTAATAGCGAGAACTGGACCTTAAAATCCTTAAAATAAAAAAATATATATGTTTCATAGGCGACTGAAGTTCTACATGTTTCAATCTGTGGAAAATGTGGAAAATGTGGTTTTTCTCCATTTTAAACTGCATTAAGAAGCTGGTGGTTACCTTGGTTTTTAACCTCTGCAATTTCGCATTCGTACTCTTGTAGTGTATCTTTGAGCCTCTGGTTTTCTGTCTCCAAGTCGTGCATCTTCCGAACAGTCACCTGGAGTTGCTGAGCTGCCTCCAGAGTCGAGACAGGATCTGAAACACACATCCGCACACACACACACACAGGTCAGAATATCGGGTGTACTGCGTTCAGAGCAGGTGAAAGGTTCGATTCAGTGAGTGAGAGTTCTGTGTGGGCCAGTCTCTGTGCAGCTCGACTAAATACCTAAAAGTGTTTTTGCATTTTTGCGGACTGCCAACCGCAGCTAAAAATGTTAACTAGAAAAACAAACCAAGCCAAAACACGCCAATAAATCCACACTGTGCTCCAGCACCTCGGTTTAAATTCTGCTCTGTTAAATCACGCTAACAAAAAAGAACCAAAAAGAATTATGATGTTATCACTGATTTTATACAGAGACCACGCAAGTACCATGTTTTCTGGACATGTACCATGGTCATCACAATTTGCTGCCAGAGCAAGGCACTAACAATAGTAATTAAAAACAACAATGCACTAAATAATAATTATAATAAATAATAATAATATTAATTAATGCACACTAAAATTAAATGCACATCAATTTTACACAATATTTACTGAATATTCGCAAAAAAACTTTATTATATATTGAAAAAAAATGAAACTTCTCCTTTAAAAGTTAAGAATAAAAATAATCTGACATCTGTGAAACCACCACAATAAACCTGCAATAGGTAAAATAAAGCAAATATATATATATATAAAAAAATTTATACTAAACTGGACTTTAAACACTGGGAGACTGGAGGATCACTGACCTGAGAAAGATCAGCATGTGGAATAGGAAGGATTACCTAACGGACGGCTCAGACGGAAACACACCTGTGTGTGTACACGTACACATACCCGTGTGTCTGCGACAGAGAGGTCGCATGTGGCGGTACCTATGGCTCGTGTGGGACAAATAAAATATTGCCGTTATTGAACTGCATCGATTAGGGGAATTCCACAGATGGTGAGGGAGCGATCCCTACCTCTTGTTTACGTTAAAAAAAGAAAAACCAGGACACATGTCTGGCTGAAACAGCAGTGGGACAGAAATAGAACTCAGATGACTACAGCTCATTTGAACAAAATTAGGGCCCTGTCTATGTGGGTACACTTATGCGGCCTGCCAACATGACATATGCTTAACTCATTTAATTTGCTAGGTGCAGATAAATTCTGCTTTACAAAATAAAAATGCTTACAAACTTCCATTATGTGTGAATTTTGATTCATCAGGAAGTAATGTAGGTATTTAATACAACTTGATTTTATTCATTAGGATTTGATTGTGAAAAGTAGGCAGAATGATTAATACATAAAAAAATAGTAATACTGTGAAAAGTTATTACAATTTAAAATAACTTTTCTATTTGAATCTATTTAAAAATTTAATTTATTCCTGTTATAGCAAAGCTGAATTGTAATATTTAATATTATTATATTAATCATTTTTGTGGAATGTGATACACTACGATTCAAAAGTTTGGGGTCAGTAAGATTCAAAAATAAATAATAAATTAATATGAAATTGATTTTTAAAAAAGTGCAGTAAAGACATATACAATGTTTCACTTATAATGTTTCAAATATTTAAAATAGAAGCTGTTCACTGAACTCTATTCATTGGTCAAAGAGTACTAAAAAACAATTCTCCACCAATTCTCACTGTTAACTAATTGCTTATTAGCATGCCTATTATTAACATATTGGCTGTTTATTAATACTTATAAAGCACATATTTTGCATGACCATATTCTACATCTCTAATCCTACCCAATACCTAAACTTAACAACCACTTTACTAACTATTAATAAGCAGCAAATTAGGAGTTTATTGAGGCAAAAGTTGAAGTTAATGGTTTGTTAATAGCGAGAACTGGACCTTAAAATAAAATGTGACAAAAAATATATATGTTTCATAGGCGACTGAAGTTCTACATGTTTCAATCTGTGGAAAATGTGTTTTGTTTTGTTTTTCTCCATTTTAAACTGCATTAAGAAGCTGGTGGTTACCTTGGTTTTTAACCTCTGCAATTTCGCATTCGTACTCTTGTAGTGTATCTTTGAGCCTCTGGTTTTCTGTCTCCAAGTCGTGCATCTTCCGAACAGTCACCTGGAGTTGCTGAGCTGCCTCCAGAGTCGAGACAGGATCTGAAACACACATCCGCACACACACACACACAGGTCAGAATATCGGGTGTACTGCGTTCAGAGCAGGTGAAAGGTTCGATTCAGTGAGTGAGAGCTCTGTGTGGGCCAGTCTCTGTGCAGCTCGACTAAATACCTAAAAGTGTTTTTGCATTTTTGCGGACTGCCAACCGCAGCTAAAAATGTTAACTAGAAAAACAAACCAAGCCAAAACACGCCAATAAATCCACACTGTGCTCCAGCACCTCGGTTTAAATTCTGCTCTGTTAAATCACGCTAACAAAAAAGAACCAAAAAGAATTATGATGTTATCACTGATTTTATACAGAGACCACGCAAGTACCATGTTTTCTGGACATGTACCATGGTCATCACAATTTGCTGCCAGAGCAAGGCACTAACAATAGTAATTAAAAACAACAATGCACTAAATAATAATTATAATAAATAATAATAATATTAATTAATGCACACTAAAATTAAATGCACATCAATTTTACACAATATTTACTGAATATTCGCAAAAAAACTTTATTATATATTGAAAAAAAATGAAACTTCTCCTTTAAAAGTTAAGAATAAAAATAATCTGACATCTGTGAAACCACCACAATAAACCTGCAATAGGTAAAATAAAGCAAATATATATATATATAAAAAAATTTATA